CTCCTAGAGACTTCCAGAGACTTCCAGAACCTTCAAGAGACTCCCAGAACCTCCTAGAGACTTCCGGAGACCCCCAGAACCTCCTAGAGACTTCCAGAACCTCCCGGAGACTTCCAGAGACTTCCAGAACCTCCTAGAGACTTCCAGAACCTCCCGGAGACTTCCAGAGACTTCCAGAACCTCCTGGAGACTTCCAGAACCTCCCGGAGACTTCCGGAGACTTCCAGAACCTCCTAGAGACTTCCAGAACCTCCCGGAGACTTCCAGAGACTTCCAGAACCTCCCGGAGACTTCCAGAACCTCCTAGAGACCCCCAGAACCTCCTGGAGACTTCCAGAACCTCCCGGAGACTTCCAGAACCTCCCGGAGACTTCCAGAGACTTCCAGAACCTCCTGGAGACTTCCAGAACCTCCTAGAGACCCCCAGAACCTCCTAGAGACTTCCAGAACCTCCTAGAGACTTCCAGAGACTTCCAGAACCTCCCGGAGACTTCCAGAACCTCCCGGAGACTTCCAGAACCTCCTAGAGACTTCCAGAACCTCCTAGAGACCCCCAGAACCTCCCGGAGACTTCCAGAGACTTCCAGAACCTCCTAGAGACTTCCAGAACCTCCCGGAGACTTCCAGAACCACCCGGAGACTTCCAGAGACTTCCAGAACCTTCAAGAGACCCCCAGAACCTCCTGGAGACTTCCAGAACCTCCCGGAGACTTCCGGAGACTTCCAGAACCTCCTAGAGACTTCCAGAACCTCCCGGAGACTTCCAGAGACTTCCAGAACCTTCAAGAGACCCCCAGAACCTCCCGGAGACTCCCAGAGACTTCCAGAACCTTCAAGAGACTCCCAGAACCTCCCGGAGACTTCCGGAGACTTCCAGAACCTCCCGGAGACTTCCAGAGACTTCCAGAACCTCCTAGAGACTTCCAGAACCTCCCGGAGACTTCCAGAACCTCCCGGAGACTTCCAGAGACTTCCAGAACCTCTTAAAGACTTCCAAAACCTCCCGGAGACTTCCGGAGACTTCCAGAACCTCCCGGAGACTTCCAGAGACTTCCAGAACCTTCCAGAGACTTCCAGAACCTTCAAGAGACTTCCAGAACCTCCTAGAGACCCCCAGAACCTCACGGACACTTCCGGAGACTTCCAGAACCTCCTAGAGACTTCCAGAACCTTCAAGAGACTCCCAGAACCTCCCGGAGACTTCTGGAGACTCCCGGAGACTCCCGGAGACTCCCAGAACCTCCCGGAACCGTCTCCAGCGTGGTTCCTGCGCTCACTTCAGCTTCTTCTTGGGACGCAGGTTGTTGGTGTGACCGCACTTCTGCTTACGGCAATTCACAGCGCGCGGGTGCAGACGGGCATAGCACCTGCAGGGAGAGAGACAGAGATGGTGAGAGCGAGATGGTGAGAGAGAGGTGGTGAGAGATGGTGAGAGAGAGAGAGAGATGGTGAGAGATGGTGAGAGGGAGAGAGAGGTGGTGAGATGGTGAGAGAGAGATGGTGAGAGAGAGATGGTGAGAGAGATGGTGAGAGAGATGGTGAGAGAGAGATGGTGAGAGAGATGGTGAGAGAGAGATGGTGAGAGAGATGGTGAGAGAGAGATGGTGAGAGAGATGGTGAGAGAGATGGTGAGAGATGGTGAGAGATGGTGAGAGATGGTGAGAGATGGTGTGAGAGAGATGGTGAGAGAGAGATGGTGAGAGAGATGGTGAGAGAGAGATGGTGAGAGATGGTGAGAGATGGTGAGAGATGGTGAGAGAGATGGTGAGAAATGGTGAGAGATGGTGTGAGAGAGATGGTGTAAGAGAGATGGTGAGAGAGAGATGGTGAGAGAGAGAGATGGTGAGAGAGAGAGATGGTGAGAGATGGTGAGAGATGGTGAGAGATGGTGAGAGAGATGGTGAGAGAGATGGTGAGAGAGATGGTGAGAGAGATGGTGAGAGAGAGATGGTGAGAGATGGTGAGAGATGGTGAGAGATGGTGAGAGATGGTGAGAGGGAGAGAGAGGTGGTGAGATGGTGAGAGAGAGATGGTGAGAGAGAGATGGTGAGAGAGAGATGGTGAGAGAGAGAGATGGTGAGAGAGATGGTGAGAGAGAGATGGTGAGAGATGGTGAGAGAGAGGTGGTGAGATGGTGAGAGAGAGATGGTGAGAGAGAGATGGTGAGAGAGAGGTGGTGAGAGATGGTGAGAGAGAGAGAGATGGTGAGAGATGGTGAGAGATGGTGAGAGGGAGAGAGAGGTGGTGAGATGGTGAGAGAGAGATGGTGAGAGAGAGATGGTGAGAGAGAGATGGTGAGAGAGAGAGATGGTGAGAGAGAGAGATGGTGAGAGAGAGATGGTGAGAGAGATGGTGAGAGAGATGGTGAGAGAGATGGTGAGAGATGGTGAGAGATGGTGTGAGAGAGATGGTGAGAGCGAGAGATGGTGAGAGAGAGAGATGGTGAGAGAGAGAGATGGTGAGAGCGAGAGATGGTGAGCGAGAGAGATGGTGAGAGATGGTGAGAGATGGTGAGAGATGGTGAGAGAGAGATGGTGAGAGATTGATGGTGAGAGAGAGATGGTGAGAGAGATGGTGAGAGAGAGATGGAGAGAGATGGTGAGAGAGAGATGGTGAGAGATGGTGAGAGAGAGGTGGTGAGATGGTGAGAGAGAGATGGTGAGAGCGAGAGATGGTGAGAGAGAGAGATGGTGAGAGATGGTGAGAGATGGTGAGAGCGAGAGATGGTGAGCGAGAGAGATGGTGAGAGATGGTGAGAGATGGTGAGAGAGATGGTGAGAGAGAGATGGTGAGAGAGATGGTGAGAGAGATGGTGAGAGAGATGGTGAGAGAGATGGTGAGAGAGAGATGGTGAGAGATGGTGAGAGAGAGATGGTGAGAGAGAGATGGTGAGAGAGAGATGGTGAGAGAGAGGTGGTGAGATGGTGAGAGATGGTGAGAGAGATGGTGAGAGAGAGATGGTGAGAGATGGTGAGAGAGAGATGGTGAGAGAGAGATGGTGAGAGAGAGATGGTGAGAGAGAGGTGGTGAGAGATGGTGAGAGATGGTGAGAGATGGTGAGAGATGGTGAGAGATGGTGAGAGAGAGATGGTGAGAGAGAGATGGTGAGAGAGAGATGGGGAGAGAGAGGTGGTGAGAGATGGTGAGAGATGGTGAGAGATGGTGAGAGAGAGAGAGATGGTGAGAGATGGTGAGAGAGAGAGATGGTGAGAGAGAGAGATGGTGAGAGAGATGGTGAGAGATGGTGAGAGGGAGAGAGAGGTGGTGAGATGGTGAGAGAGAGATGGTGAGAGAGAGATGGTGAGAGAGATGGTGAGAGAGAGATGGTGAGAGAGATGGTGAGAGAGAGATGGTGAGAGAGATGGTGAGAGAGATGGTGAGAGATGGTGAGAGATGGTGAGAGATGGTGAGAGATGGTGTGAGAGAGATGGTGTGAGAGAGATGGTGAGAGAGAGATGGTGAGAGAGATGGTGAGAGAGAGATGGTGAGAGATGGTGAGAGATGGTGAGAGATGGTGAGAGAGATGGTGAGAGATGGTGAGAGATGGTGTGAGAGAGATGGTGTAAGAGAGATGGTGAGAGAGAGATGGTGAGAGAGAGAGATGGTGAGAGAGAGAGATGGTGAGAGATGGTGAGAGATGGTGAGAGATGGTGAGAGAGATGGTGAGAGAGAGATGGTGAGAGATGGTGAGAGAGATGGTGAGAGAGATGGTGAGAGAGAGATGGTGAGAGATGGTGAGAGATGGTGAGAGGGAGAGAGAGGTGGTGAGATGGTGAGAGAGAGATGGTGAGAGAGAGATGGTGAGAGAGAGATGGTGAGAGAGAGAGATGGTGAGAGAGATGGTGAGAGAGAGATGGTGAGAGATGGTGAGAGAGAGGTGGTGAGATGGTGAGAGAGAGATGGTGAGAGAGAGATGGTGAGAGATGGTGAGAGAGAGAGAGATGGTGAGAGATGGTGAGAGATGGTGAGAGGGAGAGAGAGGTGGTGAGATGGTGAGAGAGAGATGGTGAGAGAGAGATGGTGAGAGAGAGATGGTGAGAGAGAGAGATGGTGAGAGGGAGAGATGGTGAGAGAGAGATGGTGAGAGAGATGGTGAGAGAGATGGTGAGAGAGATGGTGAGAGAGATGGTGAGAGATGGTGAGAGATGGTGTGAGAAAGATGGTGAGAGAGAGATGGTGAGAGAGAGATGGTGAGAGAGAGGTGGTGAGATGGTGAGAGAGAGATGGTGAGAGAGATGGTGAGAGATGGTGAGAGAGATGGTGAGAGAGATGGTGAGAGATGGTGAGAGAGAGATGGTGAGAGAGAGATGGTGAGAGAGAGATGGTGAGAGAGAGGTGGTGAGAGATGGTGAGAGATGGTGAGAGATGGTGAGAGATGGTGAGAGAGAGATGGTGAGAGAGAGATGGTGAGAGAGAGATGGTGAGAGAGAGATGGTGAGAGAGAGATGGGGAGAGAGAGGTGGTGAGAGATGGTGAGAGATGGTGAGAGATGGTGAGAGAGATGGTGAGAGATGGTGAGAGATGGTGTGAGATGGTGAGAGAGAGAGAGATGGTGAGAGATGGTGAGAGATGGTGAGAGAGATGGTGAGAGATGGTGAGAGATGGTGAGAGAGAGAGAGATGGTGAGAGATGGTGAGAGAGATGGTGAGAGATGGTGTGAGATGGTGAGAGAGAGAGATGGTGAGAGATGGTGAGAGATGGTGAGAGAGAGAGATGGTGAGAGATGGTGTGAGATGGTGAGAGAGAGAGATGGTGAGAGATGGTGAGAGATGGTGAGAGAGAGAGATGGTGAGAGATGGTGAGAGATGGTGAGAGAGATGGTGAGAGATGGTGAGAGATGGTGAGAGATGGTGAGAGAGAGATGGTGAGAGATGGTGAGAGATAGTGACAGAGATGGTGAGAGAGAGAGATGGTGAGAGATAGTGAGAGATGGTGAGAGATGGTGAGAGAGAGAGATGGAGGGAGATGGTGAGGGATGGTGAGAGATGGTGAGAGGGATGGTGAGAGATGGTGAGAGATGGTGAGGGAGATGGTGAGAGAGATGGTGAGAGATGGTGAGAGATGGTGAGAGAGAGAGATGGAGAGAGAGATGGTGAGAGAGATGCTGAGGGAGATGGTGAGAGAGAGAGATGGTGAGAGAGAGAGATGGTGAGAGAGATGGTGAGAGAGAGATGGTGAGATGGATGGTGAGAGATAGAGAGATGGTGAGAGAGATATGGGGAGAGAGAGATGGTGTGAGAGTGTGAGTGTGTGTCTGTGTGTGTCTGTGTGTCTGTGTAACTGTGTGTGTCTGTCTGTGTGTCTGTGTGTGTGTCACTGTGTGTATGTGTATCACTGTGTGTGTGTCTGTCTGTGTGTGTCTGTGTGTGTCTGTGTGTGTGTCACTGTGTGTATGTGTATCACTCTGTGTGTATGTGTATCACTCTGTCTGTGTGTCTGTGTGTGTGTATGTGTGTGTCACTGTGTGTATGTGTATCACTGTGTGTGTGTCTGTGTGTGTGTATGTATGTGTGTCACTGTGTGTATGTGTATCACTCTGTGTGTATCACTCTGCGTGTGTGTGTAAGTGTGTGTGTGTGTATCACTCTGTGTGTGGGTGTCTGTCTGTGTGTCTGTGGGTGTCTGTGTGTGTGTGTGTCTGTGTGTGTCACTGTGTGTGTGTATCACTCTGTGTGTGTATGTGTATCACTCTGTGTGTGTCTGTCTGTGTGTGTGTCTGTGTGTTACTGTGTGTATGTGTATCACTCTGTGTGTGTATCACTCTGTGTGTGTGTAAGACTCTGTGTGTGTGTAACTGTGTGTGTGTGTATCACTCTGTGTGTCTGTGTGTGTGTCTATGTGTGTGTGTCACTGTGTGTATGTGTATCACTCTGTGTGTGTGTCTGTGTGTATCACTGTGTGTGTGTGTATCACTGTGTGTGTGTATCACTCTGTGTGTGTCTATGTGTGTGTATATCACTCTGTGTGTTTGTGTGTATCTCTCTGTGTGTATCACTGTGTGTGTGTGTCTGTGTGTGTATGTGTCACTGTGTCTGTGTGTGTGTCTGTGTATGTGTGTGTATCACTCTGTGTGTGTGTATCACTCTGTGTGTGTATCACTGTGTGTGTATCACTCTGTGTGTGTGTATCTGTGTGTGTGTGTCACTGTGTCTGTGTGTGTATCACTTTGTGTGTGTGTGTGTATCACTCTGTGTGTGTGTATCACTGTGTGTGTGTATCACTCTGTGTGTGTAAGTGTGTATGTGTATCACGCTGTGTGTAAGTGTGTGTATCACTCTGTGTGTGTATCACAGTGTGTGTGTGTAAGTGTGTGTGTATCACTCTGTGTGTGTGTATCACTCTGTGTGTGTGTGTAAGTGTGTGTGTGTATCACTGTCTGTGTGTATCACTCTGTGTGTGTATCACTGTGTGTCTGTGTGTGTGTGTGTATCACTCTGTGTCTGTGTGTATCACTCTGTGTCTGTGTGTATCACTCTGTGTGTGTGTGTCACTGTGTGTGTGTATCACTCTGTGTGTGTGTGTCTATGTGTTGTGTGTGTGTATGCGTGTGTGTATCACTCTGTGTGTGTGTGTATCACTCTGTGTGTGTGTAAGTGTGTGTGTATCACTCTGTGTGTGTCTGTGTCTGTGTGTGTGTAAGTGTGTGTGTCTGTGTGTGTGTCTATATGTGTGTATCACTCTGTGTGTGTGTGTATCACTCTGTGTGTGTGTGTCACTGTGTGTGTGTCACTGTGTGTCTGTGTCAGTGTGTGTGTCACTGTGTGTGTGTATCACTCTGTGTGTGTGTATCACACTGTGTGTGTATGTGTATGTGTGTGTCACTCTGTGTGTGTGTAAGTGTGTGTCACTGTGTGTGTGTGTGTCACTGTGTGTGTGTCACTGTGTGTGTATCACTCTGTGTGTGTATCACTCTGTGTGTGTGTCTGTGTGTGTGTAAGTGTGTGTGTGTATCACTCTGTGTGTGTGTCTGTGTGTGTGTGTAACTGTGTGTGTGTATGTGTGTATCACTGTGTGCCTGTGTGTAAGTGTGTGTGTGTATCACTCTGTGTGTCTGTGTGTGTGTGTCACTGTGTGTATCACTCTGTGTGTCACTCTGTGTGTGTGTGTCTGTGTGTGTGTGTCTGTGTGTGTATCACTCTGTGTGTTTGTCTATGTGTGTGTGTGTATCACTCTGTGTGTGTCTATGTGTGTGTGTGTGTGTCTGTGTGTCTGTGTGTATCACTCTGTGTGTGTCTGTGTGTGTCTGTGTGTGTCACTGTGTGTGTGTGGGGAGCGGTAGTGTAGTGGTTAGCGCTACGCTGCGCTATGAACCTGGCGACCCGGGTTCGATTCCCACTCACGGCCAACACCAGTGACGATTATCTGAACCGGTCCCGGGCCTCCCCTAGGTCGACTCAGCCTCAAATGAGTACCTGGTGCGGTGTGTAAACATTGCCACTAGGGAGACAAAGGCGGTCGGGCGTGGTGCTGGCCACCCACCCCCTCGTGTACCGTTCCGGCCTTCATAGGTGCTCGCTAACAGCACTTGCCCCTACAGTCTGTTACAGGCTATATGGGGGATCTTTGTTTGTTTTGTATCACTCTGTAAGTGTGTGTCTGTGTGTGTGTGTCACTCTGTGTGTCTGTGTCTGTGTGTGTGTATCACTCTGTGTGTGTGTCTATGTGTGTGTGTATCACTGTGTGTGTCTGTGTGTGTGTGTCACTGTGTGTGTGTCACTGTGTGTGTGTATCACTCTGTGTGTCTGTGTGTATCACTAAGTGTGTGTATCTGTGTGTGTGTCACTCTGTGTGTGTGTCTATGTGTGTGTATCACTCTGTGTGTGTGTATCACTCTGTGTGTCTGTGTGTGTGTATCACTAAGTGTGTGTCACTCTGTGTCTGTGTGTGTCTGTGAGTGTGTGTGTCTATGTGTGTGTATCACTCTGTGTGTGTGTCACTCTGTGTGTATCACTCTGTGTGTGTGTAAGTGTGTGTGTATCACTCTGTGTGTGTGTGTCTATGTGTGTGTATCACTCTGTGTGTGTGTATCACTCTGTGTGTCTGTGTGTGTATCACTCTGTGTGTCTGTGTCTGTGTGTGTGTATCACTCTGTGTGTGTGTATCACTCTGTGTGTCTGTGTGTGTATCACTCTGTGTGTGTGTGTCTGTGTGTGTGTATCACTCTGTGTGTGGGGAGCGGTAGTGTAGTGGTTAGTGCTACGCTGCGCTATGAACCTGGCGACCCGGGTTCGATTCCCGCTCACGGCCAACACCACCAGTGACGATTATCTGACATACACACACACACTCTGTGTGTGTGTGTATGTGTGTGTGTGTATCACTCTGTGTGTCTGTGTCTGGGTGTGTGTATCACTGTGTGTGTGTGTCTGTGTGTGTCTGTGTGTGTCACTGTGTGTGTGTGGGGAGCGATAGTGTAGTGGTTAGCGCTACGCTGCGCTATGAACCTGGCGACCCGGGTTCGATTCCCGCTCACGGCCAACACCAGTGACGATTATCTGAACCGGTCCCGGGCCTCCCCTAGGTCGACTCAGCCTCAAATGAGTACCTGGTGCGGTGTGTAAACATTGCCACTAGGGAGACAAAGGCGGTCGGGCGTGGTGCTGGCCACCCACCCCCTCGTGTACCGTTCCGGCCTTCATAGGTGCTCGCTAACAGCACTTGCCCCTACAGTCTGTTAAGGCTATATGGGGGATCTTTGTCTTTGTATCACTCTGTGTGTCTGTGTCTGTGTGTGTGTGTGTAACTGTGTGTGTGTATGTGTGTGTGTCACTGTGTGTGTCTGTGTGTGTGTGTGTCACTGTGTGTGTGTCACTGTGTGTGTATCACTGTGTGTGTGTGTCTGTGTGTGTGTGTATCACTAAGTGTGTGTCACTCTGTGTCTGTGTGTGTCTGTGAGTGTGTGTGTATCACTCTGTGTGTGTGTCACTCTGTGTGTATCACTCTGTGTGTGTGTAAGTGTGTGTGTATCACTCTGTGTGTGTGTGTCTATGTGTGTGTATCACTCTGTGTGTGTGTGTCTATGTGTGTGTATCACTCTGTGTGTGTGTATCACTCTGTGTGTCTGTGTGTGTATCACTCTGTGTGTGTGTGTATGTGTGTGTGTGTATCACTCTGTGTGTCTGCGTCTGGGTGTGTGTATCACTCTGTGTGTGTGTATCACTCTGTGTGTCTGTGTGTGTATCACTCTGTGTGTCTGTGTCTGTGTGTGTGTATCACTCTGTGTGTGTGTATCACTCTGTGTGTCTGTGTGTGTATCACTCTGTGTGTGTGTGTCTGTGTGTGTGTATCACTCTGTGTGTGGGGAGCGGTAGTGTAGTGGTTAGTGCTACGCTGCGCTATGAACCTGGCGACCCGGGTTCGATTCCCGCTCACGGCCAACACCACCAGTGACGATTATCTGACATACACACACACACTCTGTGTGTGTGTGTATGTGTGTGTGTGTATCACTCTGTGTGTCTGTGTCTGGGTGTGTGTATCACTCTGTGTGTCTGTGTCTGTGTGTGTATCACTCTGTGTGTCTGTGTCTGTGTGTGTGTATCACTCTGTGTGTGTGTGTCTGTGTGTGTGTGTGTCACACTGTGTGTGTCACTGTGTGTGTGTCACTGTGTGTGTGTGTGTCTGTGTGTGTGTGTCTATGTGTGTGTGTCTGTGTGTGTGTCACTGTGTGTGTCACTGTGTGTGTCTGTGTCTGTGTGAGTGTCACTGTGTGTCTGTGTCTGTGTGTCTGTGTCTGTGTGTCTGTGCGAGTGTCCGTGTCTCTCCTCACTTGCGGCAGATCATCTTGTCACAGTTGTACTTCATGGCGAGCTGCTTCAGCGAAGGCTCAATGATGCCTCCCCTGAGCCTGAGGACGAGGTGAAGGGTCGACTCTACATAGACACGGAGACACAGTGAGAGACACACAGTGAGACACACAGTGAGACACACACAGTGAGACACAGTGAGACACACACAGTGAGACACACACAGTGAGACACAGAGTGAGACACAGTGAGAGACACACAGTGAGACACACAGTGAGACACACACACAGTGAGACACAGTGAGAGACACACAGTGAGACACACACAGTGAGACACACAGTGAGACACACAGTGAGACACAGTGAGAGACACACAGTGAGACACACACACAGTGAGACACAGTGAGACACAGTGAGACACACACAGTGAGACACACACAGTGAGACACACAGTGAGACACAGAGTGAGACACAGTGAGAGACACACAGTGAGACACACACACAGTGAGACACACAGTGAGAGACACACAGTGAGACACACAGTGAGACACAGAGTGAGACACACAGTCAGACACACAGTGAGACACACAGTGAGACACACAGTGAGACACAGTGACAGACACACACACAGTGAGACACAGTGTGAGACACACAGTGAGACACACACAGAGAGAGTGAGACACAGTGAGAGACACACAGTGAGACACACAGTGAGACACACAGTGAGACACACACACAGTGAGACACACAGTGAGACACACAGTGAGACACAGTGACAGACACACACAGAGTGAGACACAGAGTGAGACACAGAGTGAGACACACAGTGAGACACACAGTGAGACACACACAGTGAGACACACACACACAGTGAGACACACAGTGAGACACACAGTGAGACACAGTGAGAGACACAGTGAGACACACACACACAGTGAGACACACAGTGAGACACACAGTGAGACACACAGAGTGAGACACACAGAGTGAGACACACACAGTGAGACACACACACAGTGAGACACACAGAGTGAGACACACACAGTGAGACACACAGTGAGACACACAGAGTGAGACACACAGTGAGAGAGACACACAGTGAGACACACAGTGAGAGAGACACACAGTGAGACACACAGTGAGACACACACACACAGTGAGACACACACAGTGAGACACACAGTGAGACACACACACACAGTGAGACACACACAGTGAGACACACAGTGAGACACACACAGTGAGACACAGTGAGACACACACAGTGAGACACACAGTGACACACACACAGTGAGACACACAGTGAGACACACAGTGACACACACAGTGAGACACACAGTGACACACACACAGTGAGACACACACACAGTGAGACACACACACAGTGAGACACACACACAGTGAGACACACACAGTGACACATACACACAGTGACACACACAGTGACACACACACACAGTGACACACACAGTGACACACACACACAGTGACACACACACAGTGAGACACACAGTGAGAGACACACAGTGAGAGACACACAGTGAGAGACACACACAGTGACACACACAGTGAGACACACACAGTGAGACACACAGTGAGACACACACAGTGAGACACACACACAGTGAGACACACACACAGTGAGACACACACACAGTGAGACACACAGTGAGACACACAGTGAGACACAGTGAGACACACACACAGTGAGACACACAGTGACACACAGTGAGACACACAGTGAGACACACAGTGAGAGAGACACAGTGAGACACACAGTGAGACACACACAGTGAGACACACACAGTGAGACACACACAGAGTGAGACACACAGTGAGAGACACACACAATGACACACACAGTGAGACACACAGTGAGACACACACACAGTGAGACACACACACTGAGACACACAGTGAGAGACACACACACAGAGTGACACACACACACACAGTGAGAGACACACACACAGTGAGACACACAGAGTGAGACACACAGTGAGAGACAGTGAGACACACAGAGTGACACACACACAGTGAGACACACAGTGAGAGACACACACACACACAGTGAGACACACAGTGAGACACACAGTGAGAGACACAGTGAGACACACAGTGAGACACACACACAGAGTGAGACACACACAGTGACACACAGTGAGACACACACAGTGACACACAGTGAGACACACACAGTGAGACACACACAGTGAGACACACACACAGTGAGACACACAGTGAGAGACAGTGAGACACACAGAGTGACACACACACAGTGAGACACACAGTGAGAGACACACACACACACAGTGAGACACACAGTGAGAGACACAGTGAGAGACAGTGAGACACACACACAGAGTGAGACACACACAGTGACACACAGTGAGACACACACAGTGACACACAGTGAGACACACACAGTGAGACACACAGTGACACACAGTGAGACACACACAGTGAGACACACACAGTGAGACACACACACAGTGAGACACACACAGTGACACACAGTGAGACACACAGTGAGACACAGTGAGACACACACAGTGAGACACACAGTGAGAGACAAACACAGAGTGAGACACACAGTGAGACACACACACAGTGAGACACACACAGTGACACACAGTGAGACACACAGTGAGACAGTGAGACACACACACAGTGAGACACACAGTGAGACACACACACAGAGTGAGACACACACACACAGTGAGACACACACACACAGTGAGACACACACACACAGTGAGACACACACACACAGTGAGACACAGTGAGACACACAGTGAGACAGTGAGACACACACACAGTGAGACACACAGTGAGACACACACACAGAGTGAGACACACACACACAGTGAGACACACACACACAGTGAGACACACACACACAGTGAGACACACACACACAGTGAGACACAGTGAGACACAGTGAGACAGTGAGACACACACCACACGTCTCTCGCTCACCCTTCTGGATGTTATAATCTCCCAACGTGCGGCCATCCTCCAACTGCTTGCCGGCGAAGATCAGCCTCTGCTGTTCCGGAGGGATTCCTGGGGAGGGGAGAGAGACAGGGAGGGGAGAGAGACAGGGAGGGGAGAGAGACAGGGTCAGAGAGACAGGGAGAGAGAGACAGGGAGGGGAGAGAGACAGGGAGAGAGACAGGGAGGGGAGAGAGACACGGGGGGGAGAGAGACAGGGAGAGAGACAGGGAGAGAGAGACAGGGAGAGAGAGACAGGGAGAGAGAGACAGGGAGAGAGACAGGGAGAGAGACAGGGAGAGAGACAGGGAGGGAAGAGAGACACGGGGGGGAGAGAGACAGGGAGAGAGACAGGGAGAGAGACAGGGTCAGAGGGAGAGAGGGAGAGGGAGACAGGGTCAGAGAGACAGGGTCAGAGAGAGACAGGGAGAGAGAGACAGGGAGAGAGAGACAGGGAGAGAGACAGGGTCAGAGAGAGACAGGGAGAGAGACAGGGTCAGAGGGAGAGAGACAGGGAGAGAGACAGGGAGAGAGACACACGGAGAAACAGGGTCAGAGAGAGACAGGGAGGGGAGAGAGACAGGGTCAGAGAGAGACAGGGAGAGAGACAGGGTCAGAGGGAGAGAGAGACAGGGTCAGAGGGAGAGAGAGACAGGGTCAGAGGGAGAGAGAGACAGGGTCAGAGAGAGACAGGGAGAGAGACAGGGAGAGAGACAGGGTCAGAGGGAGAGAGCGAGAGAGAGACAGGGTCAGAGAGAGACAGGGAGAGAGAGAGACAGGGAGAGAGAGACAGGGAGAGAGAGACAGGGAGAGAGACAGGGTCAGAGGGAGAGAGGGAGAGAGACAGGGAGAGAGACAGGGTCAGAGGGAGAGAGGGAGAGAGAGACAGGGTCAGAGAGAGACAGGGAGAGAGAGACAGGGAGAGAGAGAGACAGGGAGAGAGACTGGGTCAGAGACAGGGAGAGAGACAGGGAGAGAGAGACAGGGTCAGAGAGACAGGGAGAGAGAGACAGGGAGAGAGAGACAGGGAGAGAGAGACAGGGAGAGAGACAGGGTCAGAGGGAGAGAGGGAGAGAGACAGGGAGAGAGACAGGGTCAGAGGGAGAGAGGGAGAGAGAGACAGGGTCAGAGAGAGACAGGGAGAGAGAGAGACAGGGAGAGAGACTGGGTCAGAGAGAGACAGGGAGAGAGAGACAGGGAGAGAGAGACAGGGAGAGAGAGAGACAGGGAGAGAGACAGGGAGAGAGACAGGGTCAGAGAGACAGGGTCAGAGAGAGACAGGGAGAGAGAGACAGGGAGAGAGAGACAGGGAGAGAGAGACAGGGAGAGAGACAGGGTCAGAGGGAGAGAGGGAGACAGAGACAGGGTCAGAGAGACAGGGTCAGAGCGAGACAGGGAGAGAGACAGGGAGAGAGACAGGGAGGGGAGAGAGACAGGGTCAGAGAGAGACAGGGAGAGAGACAGGGAGGGGAGAGAGACAGGGTCAGAGAGAGACAGGGAGAGAGAGAGACAGGGAGAGAGAGACAGGGAGAGAGAGACAGGGAGAGAGAGACAGGGTCAGAGAGACAGGGTCAGAGAGACAGGGTCAGAGAGAGACAGGGAGAGAGAGACAGGTAGAGAGACAGGGTCAGAGGGAGAGAGGAAGAGAGACAGGGAGAGAGAGACAGGGAGAGAGACAGGGTCAGAGGGAGACAGAGAAAGAGACAGGGAGAGAGACAGGGTCAGAGGGAGAGAGAGACAGGGTCAGAGAGAGACAGGGTGAGAGAGACAGGGTGAGAGATACAGGGTCAGAGGGAGAGAGGGAGAGAGACAGGGAGACAAGGAGAGAGAGACACAGGGGGAGAGAGACAGGGAGACACAGAAAGACAGGGAGAGAGACACAGGGGGAGATCGACAGTGAGAGAGACACAGGGAGAGACAGGGAAAGAGACACGGGGAGAGAGACACACGGGGAGAGAGACACGGGGAGACAGGGAGTAAGACACGGGGAGAGAGACAAGGAGAGGGCCACACAAGTAGAGAGACACACAAGGAGAGAGACACGGGGAGACACAGGGAGACAGGGAGAAAGACACGGGGAGAGAGACACAGGGAGAGAGACACAGGGAGAGAGACACAGGGAGAGACACACACAGGGAGAGACACAGGGAGACAGGGAGACAAGGAGAGAGACACAGGGAGAGAGACACAGGGAGACACAGGGAGAGAGACACAGGGAGAGACACACACAGGGAGAGAGACAGGGAGACACAGGGAGACAGGGAGACAAGGAGAGAGACACAGGGAGAGAGACACAGGGAGACACAGGGAGAGAGACACAGGGAGAGACACGGGGAGACAGACACACAGGGAGAGACACACAAGGAGACACGGGGAGAGAGACACAGGGAGACAGGGAGTAAGACACGGGGAGAGAGACAAGGAGAGGGACACACAAGTAGAGAGACACACAAGGAGAGAGACACACAAGGAGAGAGACACAGGGAGAGAGACACGGAGAGACACGGGGAGAGAGACACAGGGAGAGAGACACAGGGAGAGAGACACGGGGAGAGACACGGGGAGAGAGACACAGGGAGACACGGGGGAGAGAGAGACAAGGAGAGAGACAAGGAGAGAGACAAGGAGAGGGACACACAAGTAGAGAGACACACAAGGAGAGAGACACACGAGAGAGACACACGAGAGAGACACGGGGAGACACAGGGAGACAGGGAGAGAGAGACACGGGGAGAGAGACACAGGGAGAGACACAGAGAGAGACACACACAGAGAGAGACAGGGAGAGAGACACACAGGGAGAGAGACAGGGAGACAGGAGACAAGGAGAGAGACACAGGGAGAGACACACACAGGGAGAGACACACACAGGGAGAGAGACACGGGGAGAGAGACACGGGGAGAGAGACACAGGGAGAGAGACACAGGGAGAGAGACACGGGGAGAGAGACACAGGGAGACAGGGAGACAAGGAGAGAGACACAGGGAGAGACACACAAGGAGAGAGACACGGGGAGAGAGACACAGGGAAACAGGGAGTAAGACACAGGGAGAGAGACACAGGGAGAGACACACAAGGAGACACGGGGAGAGAGACACACGGGGAGAGAGACAAACAGGGAGAGAGACAGGGAGACAAGGAGAGAGACACGGGGAGAGACACACAGAGAGAGACACACAGGGAGAGAGACAGGGAGACAAGGAGAGAGACACGGGGAGAGACACACACACAGAGAGACACACAGGGAGGGAGACAGGGAGACAAGGAGAGAGACACGGGGAGAGACACGGGGAGAGACACACAGGGAGAGAGACAGGGAGACAGGGAGACAAGGAGAGAGACACGGGGAGAGACACACACACAGAGAGAGACACAGGGAGAGAGACGGAGACAGGGAGACAAGGAGAGAGACACGGGGAGAGACACACACAGAGAGAGACACACAGGGAGAGAGACAGGCAGACAGGGAGACAAGGAGAGAGACACGGGGAGAGACACACACAGAGAGAGACACACAGGGAGAGAGACAGGGAGACAAGGAGAGAGACACGGGGAGAGACACACACAGAGAGAGACACACAGGGAGAGAGACAGGGAGACAGGGAAACAAGGAGAGAGACACGGGGAGAGACACACAGAGAGAGACACACAGGGAGAGAGACAGGGAGACAAGGAGAGAGACACGGGGAGAGACACACACAGAGAGAGACACACAGGGAGAGAGACAGGGAGACAGGGAAACAAGGAGAGAGACACGGGGAGAGACACACAGAGAGAGAGACACACAGGGAGAGAGACAGGGAGACAAGGAGAGAGACACGGGGAGAGACACACAGAGAGAGAGACACACAGGGAGAGAGACAGGGAGACAGGGAGACAAGGAGAGAGACACGGGGAGAGACACACACAGAGAGAGACACACAGGGAGAGAGACAGGGAGACAAGGAGAGAGACACGGGGAGAGACACACAGGGAGAGAGACAGGGAGACAAGGAGAGAGACAGGGAGACAAGGAGAGAGACACGGGGAGAGACACACACAGAGAGAGACACACAGGGAGAGAGACAGGGAGAGAGACACACAGGGAGAGAGACGGAGACAGGGAGACAAGGAGAGAGACACAGGGAGAGACACACAAGGAGAGACACAGGGAGAGAGACACGGGGAGAGAGACACGGGGAGAGACACAGGGAGAGACACGGAGAGACACGGGGAGAGACACGGGGAGAGAGACACGGGGAGAGAGACACGGGGAGAGAGACACGGGGAGAGAGACACGGGGAGAGAGACACGGGGAGAGAGACACGGGGAGAGAGACACGGGGAGAGAGACACGGGGAGAGACGTGGTGAGCGAGCGAGAGGTGAGGGTGTGAGAGGAAAGCTGATGATGTTGCTGCTGATGTTGATGATGCTCCTGATGCTGATGTTGATGATGCTCCTGATGATGTTGCTGCTGATGATGCTCCTGATGCTGATGTTGCTGATGTTGATGATGCTCCTGATGATGATGTTGCTGCTGATGTTGATGATGCTCCTGATGCTGATGTTGCTGATGTTGATGATGCTCCTGATGATGATGTTGCTGCTGATGTTGATGATGCTCCTGATGCTGATGATGCTGATGTTGATGATGCTCCTGATGATGATGTTGCTGCTGATGTTGATGATGCTCCTGATGCTGATGTTGCTGCTGATGATGCTGATGTTGATGATGCTCCTGATGATGTTGATGCTGATGTTGATGATGCTCCTGATGCTGCTGATGATGCTGATGTTGATGATGCCACTGATGATGTTGTTGCTGCTGATGTTGCTGCTGATGATGCTGATGTTGATGATGCCACTGATGATGCTGCTGATGTTGATGATGCTCCTGATGCTGATGTTGCTGCTGATTATGATGCTACTGATGATGCTGATGCTACTGATGATGATGCTACTGATGATGATGCTACTGATGATGTTGATGATGATGCTACTGATGATGTTGATGATGATGCTACTGATGATGTTGATGATGCTACTGATGATGATAATGCTGATGATGTTGATGATGCTACTGATGGTGGCGATGTGACTCACCCTCCTTGTCATGAATCTTCCCCTTGACGACATCGATGGCATCCGAGGCTTCAACGTCGAGTGTGATCGTCTTGCCCGTGAGGGTCTTGACAAAGATCTGCATCTTGGTCACCCTGCGCACTGCAACAGAGGACACGCACACACACAGATACACACATATATACATACACATATATACAGATATATACACATACACACACATATACACACATATATACACACACACATATATACACACACAGATATATACACACAGATATACATACATACAGATATACACACACACAGATATACACACAGATATACACACAGATATACACACACACAGATATACACACATACACAGATATATACACACAGATATACACACACAGATATATACACACACACAGATATACACACACACAGATATATACACACACAGATATATACACACATATACACACACACAGATATATACACACACAGATATATACACAGATATACACACACACAGATATACACACACACAGATATATACACACACAGATATATACACACACAGATATACACACACACAGATATATACACACACAGATATATACACACAGATATACACACACAGATATATACACACACAGATATATACACAGATATACACACACACAGATATACACACACAGATATACACACACACAGATATATACACACACAGATATATACACACACAGATATACAGATATATACACACAGATATATACACACACACAGATATACACACACAGATATACACACACACATATATACACACAGATATATACAGATACACACACAGATACACACATATATACACACACACAGATATATACACACAGATATACACACACAGATATATACAGATACACACACATATATACACACACAGATATATATACACACACAGATATATACAGATACACACACAGATATACACACACAGATATATACAGATACACACACATATATACACACACAGATATATATACACACACAGATATATACAGATACACACACAGATATACACACACACAGATATATACATATATACACACATACACACACAGATATACACACAGATATATACACACACATATACACACACACACATATATACACACACAGATATACACACACACAGATATATACACACAGACATACACACACACATATATACACACACAGATATATACACACAGATATACACACACAGATATATACAGATACACACACAGATAGATACACACATATATACACACACACATATATACACACACAGATATATACACACACAGATATATACACACACAGATATATACACACACAGATATACAGATATATACACACAGATATATACACACACACAGATATACACACACAGATATACACACACACATATATACACACAGATATATACAGATACACACACAGATACACACATATATACACACACACAGATATATACACACAGATATACACACACAGATATATACAGATACACACACATATATACACACACAGATATATATACACACACAGATATATACAGATACACACACAGATATACACACACACAGATATATACAGATACACACATATACACACACATATACACAGATATATACACAGATATATACACATACACAGATATATGCACACACACAGATATATACAGATACACACACAGATATATACACACAGATATATACAGATACACACAGATATATACACATATATACACAGATATATACACACATATATACACAGATATACATACACATATATACACACACATATATATACACATATATACACACACACATATATACACAGACATATACACACACAGATATATACACATATACATACACACACACAGATATATACACAGATATATACACATATACATACACACACAGATATATACACACAGATATATACATATATACACACACACAGATATATACACACATACACACACATATACACACACATATATACACAGATATACACACACATATACACAGAGACCCATTCCCACAGAGACCCACAGAGACCCATTCCCACAGAGACCCAGAGAGACCCACACTCACAGAGACCCACACTCACAGAGACCCACAGAGACCCACACTCATAGAGACCCACAGAGACCCACACTCACAGAGACCCACAGAGACCCACACTCATAGAGACCCACAGAGACCCACACTCACAGAGACCCACAGAGACCCACACTCATAGAGACCCATACTCACAGAGACCCACAGAGACCCACACTCACAGAGACCCACACTCACAGAGACCCACAGAGACCCACACTCATAGAGACCCACAGAGACCCACACTCACAGAGACCCACAGAGACCCACACTCATAGAGACCCATACTCACAGAGACCCACAGAGACCCACACTCATAGAGACCCACAGAGACCCACACTCACAGAGACCCACAGAGACCCACACTCACAGAGACCCACAGAGACCCACACTCATAGAGACCCACAGAGACCCACACTCATAGAGACCCACAGAGACCCACACTCACAGAGACCCACAGAGACCCACACTCACAGAGACCCACAGAGACCCACACTCATAGAGACCCACAGAGACCCACACTCACAGAGACCCACAGAGACCCACACTCATAGAGACCCATACTCACAGAGACCCACAGAGACCCACACTCATAGAGACCCACACTCACAGAGACCCACAGAGACCCACACTCATAGAGACCCACACTCACAGAGACCCACAGAGACCCACACTCATAGAGACCCACAGAGACCCACACTCACAGAGACCCACAGAGACCCACACTCATAGAGACCCATACTCACAGAGACCCACAGAGACCCACACTCATAGAGACCCACACTCACAGAGACCCACAGAGACCCACACTCATAGAGACCCACAGAGACCCACACTCACAGAGACCCACAGAGACCCACACTCATAGAGACCCATACTCATAGAGACCCACAGAGACCCACACTCACAGAGACTCACAGAGACCCACACTCATAGAGACACACAGAGACCCACACTCACAGAGACCCACAGAGACCCACACTCATAGAGACCCACAGAGACCCACACTCATAGAGACACACAGAGACCCACACTCATAGAGACCCACACTCACAGAGACCCACACTCACAGAGACCCACACTCACAGAGACCCACACTCACAGAGACCCACAGAGACCCACACTCATAGAGACCCACACTCACAGAGACCCACAGAGACCCACACTCATAGAGACCCATACTCACAGAGACCCACAGAGACCCACACTCATAGAGACCCACACTCACAGAGACCCACAGAGACCCACACTCATAGAGACCCACACTCACAGAGACCCACAGAGACCCACACTCATAGAGACCCACAGAGACCCACACTCACAGAGACCCACAGAGACCCACACTCATAGAGACCCATACTCACAGAGACCCACAGAGACCCACACTCATAGAGACCCACACTCACAGAGACCCACAGAGACCCACACTCATAGAGACCCACAGAGACCCACACTCACAGAGACCCACAGAGACCCACACTCATAGAGACCCATACTCATAGAGACCCACAGAGACCCACACTCACAGAGACTCACAGAGACCCACACTCATAGAGACACACAGAGACCCACACTCACAGAGACCCACAGAGACCCACACTCATAGAGACCCACAGAGACCCACACTCATAGAGACACACAGAGACCCACACTCATAGAGACCCACACTCACAGAGACCCACAGAGACCCACACTCACAGAGACCCACACTCACAGAGACCCACAGAGACCCACACTCATAGAGACCCACACTCACAGAGACCCACAGAGACCCACACTCATAGAGACCCACAGAGACCCACACTCACAGAGACCCACAGAGACCCACACTCATAGAGACCCATACTCACAGAGACCCACAGAGACCCACACTCATAGAGACCCACACTCACAGAGACCCACAGAGACCCACACTCATAGAGACCCACACTCACAGAGACCCACAGAGACCCACACTCATAGAGACCCACAGAGACCCACACTCACAGAGACCCACAGAGACCCACACTCATAGAGACCCATACTCACAGAGACCCACAGAGACCCACACTCATAGAGACCCACACTCACAGAGACCCACAGAGACCCACACTCATAGAGACCCACAGAGACCCACACTCATAGAGACACACAGAGACCCACACTCATAGAGACCCACAGAGACCCACACTCACAGAGACCCACACTCATAGAGACCCATACTCACAGAGACCCACAGAGACCCACACTCATAGAGACCCACACTCACAGAGACCCACAGAGACCCACACTCATAGAGACCCACACTCACAGAGACCCACAGAGACCCACACTCATAGAGACCCACAGAGACCCACACTCACAGAGACCCACAGAGACCCACACTCATAGAGACCCATACTCACAGAGACCCACAGAGACCCACACTCATAGAGACCCACACTCACAGAGACCCACAGAGACCCACACTCATAGAGACCCACACTCACAGAGACCCACACTCATAGAGACCCACAGAGACCCACACTCACAGAGACCCACAGAGACCCACACTCATAGAGACTCACAGAGACTCACACTCATAGAGACACACAGAGACCCATACTCACAGAGACCCACAGAAACCCACACTCACAGAGACTCACAGAGACTCACACTCATAGAGACACACAGAGACCCACACTCACAGAGACCCACAGAGACCCACACTCATAGAGACCCACAGAGACCCACACTCATAGAGACACACAGAGACCCACACTCATAGAGACCCACACTCACAGAGACCCACAGAGACCCACACTCATAGAGACCCACAGAGACCCACACTCACAGAGACCCACAGAGACCCACACTCATAGAGACCCATACTCATAGAGACCCACAGAGACCCACACTCACAGAGACCCACACTCATAGAGACACACAGAGACCCACACTCACAGAGACCCACAGAGACCCACACTCATAGAGACCCACAGAGACCCACACTCATAGAGACACACAGAGACCCACACTCATAGAGACCCACAGAGACCCACACTCACAGAGACCCACACTCATAGAGACCCACACTCACAGAGACCCACAGAGACTCACACTCATAGAGACCCACACTCACAGAGACCCACAGAGACCCACACTCATAGAGACCCACAGAGACCCACACTCATAGAGACACACAGAGACCCACACTCATAGAGACCCACAGAGACCCACACTCAGAGACCCACACTCATAGAGACCCACACTCACAGAGACCCACAGAGACTCACACTCATAGAGACCCACACTCACAGAGACCCACAGAGACCCACACTCATAGAGACACACAGAGACCCACACTCATAGAGACCCACAGAGACCCACACTCACAGAGACCCACACTCATAGAGACCCACACTCACAGAGACCCACAGAGACTCACACTCACAGAGACTCACAGAGACCCACACTCACAGAGACCCACAGAGACCCACACTCATAGAGACACACAGAGACCCACACTCATAGAGACCCACAGAGACCCACACTCATAGAGACCCACAGAGACCCACACTCATAGAGACCCACAGAGACCCACACTCATAGAGACCCACAGAGACCCACACATACCCAGACCCACAAAGACCCATACCCAAAGAGACCCACAGAGACCCACAGAGACCCACAGGGACCCACAGAGACCCATACTCGGAGACACATACCCAGAGACCCACAGAGACCCATAGATACCCACATATACGGGGAGACAGAGACACGGGGAGACAGACACGGGGAGAGAGACACGGGGAGAGAAACGGGAAAGAGACACGGAGAGACACTAGGAGACAGAGACACGGGGAGAGAGACACGGGGAGAGAGACACGGGGAGAGAGACACGGGGAGAGAGACACGGGGAGACAGAAGAGAGAAACGGGAGAGAGACACAGGGAGACAGGGAGTAAGACACGGGGAGAGAGACAAGGAGAGGGACACACAAGTAGAGAGACACACGAGAGAGACATGGGGAGACACAGGGAGACAGAGACACGGGGAGAGAGACACGGGGAGACAGAAGAGAGACACGGGAGAGAGAGACAGACACAACAAGGAGAGACACGGGAGAGATACGGAGACATGAAGACACGGGGAGAAAGACACGGAGACACAGACACAAGGAGAGACACGGGGAGAGAGGGGGAAACGGGGAGAAGGACACGTGGTTTGGGTAGTGACACACTTACTAAGTCCATTCAACGTTTCTCAACAGTACACACCAACACAGCGCACAAGCTACACACATACATTGTACACAGACCTATACACACACACTATACACATTATACACAGACCTATACACACACACTATACACATTATACACAGACCTATACACACACACTATACACATTATACACAGACCTATACACACAAACACTATATACATTATACACAGACCTATACACACACTATACACATTATACACAGGCCTATATACACACACTATACACTATACACAGACCTATACACACACACTATATACATTATACACAGACCTATACACACACTATACACATTATACACAGACCTATACACACACTATACACAGACCTATATACACACACTATACACATTATACACACACACTATACACACACACACTATACACATTATACACAGACCTATACACACACACTATACACATTATACACAGACCTATACACACACACACTATATACATTATACAGACCTATACACACACTATACACATTATACACAGACCTATACACACACTATACACTATACACAGACCTATATACACACACTATACACATTATACACAGACCTATACACACACACACTATACACATTATACACAGACCTATACACACACACTATACACATTATACACAGACCTATACACACACACTATACACATTATACACAGACCTATACACACACTATACACATTATACACAAACCTATACACACACACTATACACATTATACAGACCTATACACACACACTATACACAGACCTATACACACACACTATACACATTATACACAGACCTATACACACATACTATACACATTATACACAGACCTATACACACTATACTATACACATTATACACAGACCTATACACACACTATACACATTATACACAGACCTATACACACACACTATACACATTATACACAGACCTATACACACACACTATACACATTATACACAGACCTATACACACACACTATACACATTATACACAGACCTATACACACACTATACACAGACCTATATACACACACTATACACATTATACACAGACCTATACACACACACTATACACATTATACACAGACCTATACACACACACTATACACATTATACACAGACCTATACACACACTATACACATTATACACAGACCTATACACACACACAATACACATTATACAGACCTATACACACACACTATACACATTATACACAGACCTATACACACATACTATACACATTATACACAGACCTATACACACACTATACACATTATACACAGACCTATACACACACTATACACATTATACAGACCTATACACACACATATGCACACTTATACACATTACACACACAATTATACACACTTGTACACACAATACACACACTTGTACACGTTATACACACACTTGTACACATTATACACACACTTGTACACATTATACACACACACTTGTACACATTATACACACACACTTGTACACATTATACACACACACTTGTACACATTATACACACACACTTGTACACATTATACACACACACACTTGTACACATTATACACACACACACTTGTACACATTATACACGCACGTGTACACATTATACACACTTGTACACACACTTGTACACATTATACACACGCTTGTACACATTATACACACTTGTACACATTATACATATACATTATACACATTATACACACGCTTGTACACATTATACACACGCTTGTACACATTATATACACACACACTTGTACACATTATACACACTTGTACACATTATATACACACGCTTGTACACATTATACACACACTTGTACACATTATACACACACTTGTACACATTATACACACACTTGTACACATTATACACACACTTGTACACATTATACACACACACTTGTACACATTATACACACACACTTGTACACATTATACACACACACTTGTACACATACACACACGCTTGTACACATACACACACGCTTGTACACATTATACACACACACTTGTACACATTATACACACACACTTGTACACATTATACACACGCTTGTACACATTATACACACACATTATACACACACTTGTACACATTATACACACTTGTACACATTATACACATACATTATACACACGCTTGAACACATAATACACACGCTTGTACACATTATATACACACACTACACACTTGTACACATAATACACACACTTGTATACATTATACACACTTGTACACATTATACACACTTGTACACATACACACACTTGTACACATACACACACACTTGTACACATTATACACACACTTGTACACATTATACACACAGTTGTACACATTATGCACACACTTGTACACATTATACACATACATTATACACACTTGTACACATTATTCACATACATTATACACACACTTGTACACATTATACACACGTGTACACATTATACACACGCTTGTACACATTATACACACACTTGCACACATTATACACACATTATACACACACTTGTACACATTATACACACTTGTACACATACACATAAATTATACACACGCTTGTACACATTATACACACACATTACACACACACTTGTACACATTATATACACGCGCTTGTACACATTATACACACACACACACGCGTGCACACATAATAACACACACGCGCGGCAAACTAAATCGCGATTAAAAAAACCACACACATTTATTTAAAATAAATAAGAAAAATTTTCTTCGCAGCGACTCAGAAGGGAGCGGGACGGCCGAAAGCCTGCGGCCTACCCGAGCCGAATGCGCTCGGCTCGCGACCGATGGGTCGACGCCGCCGCTGAGGAGACGGGAGCGGGAAGCTGGGAGCGGGGAAGGGATCCACGCGCGCCTCTACGATGGCGGGAGGAGGTGGACGATGACTACGGATGGAGGTGGATAATGATGGTGGTGGTGGAGGGAGAGAAGGGAGAGGCGAGATGATCGGACGCCATTAACTCACCACGCCGTTGAGGAGAGAGAGAGAGAGAGAGGGAGGGAGGAGGGGTGGGCGGAAGTGACGTCAGGCGGGAAATTTATTTATTTTTATTGTGAACGGTTTTTCGTTTGAAATCCGGCGATTTTATTCAATTCACCCGAACTTAAGCGATCGATTTCGGTTTTTTTGTTTGTTTTTAATTTTTTTTTGCGATGCGTTAAAAAAATGAATATTATAGGGGGGGGAGGGGGATAGGAGCTTCTGGTGACATCACGCCAGCGTCTCACACCTCCGGATGTGACATCACGCAGTCAATTAATTATTATTTTTTAATCCGTCGGTTTTTATAGGAAAAAAAAGGAGACACGAATTCAAATGATGGATTTGTTTTCCTTTTTAATTGAAAAGCAATGAGAGTCGTTTGCCATGTGTTTAAAAAAATATATATAAAAGGGGGCTTAGTAACTTCCGGTGACATCACGCAATCGCCTCACACCTTCGGATGTGACATCACGCGGTCAATTAATTATTATTTTTAGGTCCGTCAATTTTTATAGGAAACACAAAATAAAATGATCGATTTGTTTTCGTTTTTAATTTAAAAGCAGTGAGAGTCGTGGGCGATGTGTTTAAAAAATATAGATATAAAAGGGGGAGTTAGCAACTTCCGGTGACATCACGCCACATGCAACCCCTCCGGATGTGACATCACGCTGCGAATTAATAATAATTTTTATTATTGGTTCTTTCGGTAACGTCACGTAGAAGGGGAAACAATAAAATAATAAAAATATAAAACAATAAAATAATGAAAATATAAAACAATAAAATAATAAAAATATTAAAAATAAAATAATAAAAATATAAAACACTAAAATAATAAAAATCTAAAAAATCAAATAATAAAAATATAAAACAATAAAATAATGAAAATATAAAACAATAAAATAATAAAAATATTAAAAATAAAATAATAAAAATATAAAACACTAAAATAATAAAAATCTAAAAAATCAAATAATAAAAATATAAAACAATAAAATAATAAAAATATAAAACAATACAATAATAAAAATATAAAACAATAAAATAATAAAAATATAAAACAATAAAATAATAAAAATGTAAAACAATAAAATAATAAAAATATAAAACAATAAAATAATAAAAATGTAAAACAATAAAATAATAAAAATATAAAACAATAAAATAATAAAAACATAAAAGAAAAATAATAAAAATATAAAACAAAAAATAATAAAAATATAAAACAATAAAATAATAACATAAAACAATAAAATAATAAAAATATAAAACAATAAATTAATAAAAATCTAAAACAATAAAATAATAAAAAAATGCATAACGATAAAATAATAAAAATATATAACGATACAATTCTCACGACGTTTCGACTGCAAAACAAAGCAGCAATCATCATCTTGCTGTGGTTTTCTCACCTGATGATGATTGCTTCTTGTGTTGCAGAATTTTATTGTTTTATATTTTTATTATTTTATTGTTTTATATTTTTATTATTTTATTGTTTTTCACACCTGATGATGATTGCTTCTTGTGTTGCAGAATTTTATTGTTTTATATTTTTATTATTTTATTGTTTTATATTTTTATTATTTTATTGTTTTTCACACCTGATGGTTTTCACACCTGATGATGATTGCTTCTTGTGTTTGCAGAATTTTATTGCTTTATATTTTTATTATTTTATTGTTTTTCACACCTGATGATGATTGCTTCTTGTGTTGCAGAATTTTATTGTTTTATATTTTTATTATTTTTCACACCTGATGGTTTTCACACCTGATGATGATTGCTTGTGTTGCAGTCGAAACGTCGTGAGAATTTTATTGTTTTATATTTTTATTATTTTATTGTTCCCCTTCTACGTGGCGGTGACTTTACCGAAAGAACCAAGAATAATAATTTTATTGTTTTACAATAATTTTATTGTGTTTTATATTTTTATTATTTTATTGTTTCCCTTCTAACGTGGTGGTGACTTTACCGAAAGAACCAAGAATAATAATTTTATATTGTTTTACAAAAATTTTATTGTGTTTTATATTTTTATTATTTTATTGTTTCCCTTCTACGTGGTGGTGACTTTACCGAAAGAACCAAGAATAATAATTTTATTGTTTTACAATAATTTTATTGTTTTATATTTTTATTATTTTATTGTTTCCCTTCTACGTGGTGGTGACTTTACCGAAAGAACCAAGAATAATAATTTTATTGTTTTACAATAATTTTATTGTGTTTTATATTTTTATTATTTTATTGTTTCCCTTCTAACGTGGTGGTGACTTTACCGAAAGAACCAAGAATAATAATTTTATATTGTTTTACAAAAATTTTATTGTGTTTTATATTTTTATTATTTTATTGTTTCCCTTCTACGTGGTGGTGACTTTACCGAAAGAACCAAGAATAATAATTTTATTGTTTTACAATAATTTTATTGTTTTATATTTTTATTATTTTATTGTTTCCCTTCTACGTGGTGGTGACTTTACCGAAAGAACCAAGAATAATAATTTTATTGTTTTGCAAATTTTTTTATTGTGTTTTATATTTGTATTATTTTATTGTTTCCCTTCTAACGTGGTGGTGACTTTACCCAAAGAACCAAGAATAATAGTTTTATTGTTTTACAAAATTTTTATCGTGTTTTATATTTTTAATATTTTATTGTTTCCCTTCTAACGTGGTGGTGACTTTACCCAAAGAACCAAGAGTAATAATTTTATTGTTTTCCAATAATTTTATTGTGTTTTATATATATTTTATTATTTTATTGTTTCCCTTCTAACGTGGTGGTGACTTTACCGAAAGAACCAAGACTATGAAACACCCTGCAGTCACGAAAGCTTTAAATAACAAAACAAAATAATAATTATTTTTCAATCCGTCGGTTTTTATAATAATAATAAAAACAGGAGTCTAGAACGTAAATGGGTGATTTGGGAATAGGTTTTACCCTTTTAACTGGCACACAAAAAACTGACACCTTTATTCAAGGCATCGTGTTTGCAATAACCACAACACAAGCAGTCAAAATGCAAACAAAAAGACAACTCTGATAATAATATTGATAATAATAAAAGACAACTCTGATAATAATATTGATAATAATATTGATAATAATAAAAGACAACTCTGATAATAATAATAATATTGTCACTGTCCTTGAATTTGATTGGTCCACACCAGAGACGGCTTTTCTTAGAGCCCTTTAGTCTCTCCGCTGGTGTTGGACCAGAAGACGCCAAAAGGCGTCACACAACTCAAAAACAGCGCCACCATCAGAGTTATTGAGGTGCTCGGGATTGAGCATTTACCTATTCCTATATCTTGTTACTGGCAAAGGAGGTCTCATAATGTAAATGCTCAATCCCGAGCACCTCAATACTCTGATAGTGGCGCTGTTTTATTGAGCTGTGTGACGCCTTTTGGCATCTTCTGGTCCAACACCAGCGGAGAGACTAAAGGGCTCTAAGAAAAGCCGTCTCTGGTGTGGACCAATCAAATTCAAGGACAGTGCCAATATTATTATTATTATTAGAGTTGTCTCTTATTATTATCAATATTATCAATATTATTATCAGAGTTGTCTTTTATTATTATCAATATTATTATCAGGGTTGTCTTTTATTATTATCAATATTATTATCAATATTATTATCAGAGTTGTCTTTTTGTTTGCATATTGATATTGATAATATTAATAATAATATTATTATCAGAGTTGTCTTTTTGTTTGCATATTGATAATAATATTAATAATAATATTATTATCAATATTATTATCAGAGTTGTCTTTTTGTTTGCATTTTGACTGTTTGTGTTGTGGTTATTGCAGACACGATGCCTTGAATTAAGGTGTCAGTTTTTTGTGCCAGTTAAAAGGGTAAAACCTATTCCTATATCTTGTTTCTGGCAAAGGAGGTCTCATAATGGGTGATTTGCTTTCGTTGTTAATGTAAAAGTGATTGGAGTCGTTTCCTCGAGAAGATACAAGACTACAAAATAAAAGTGATAGGAATAGGTTTTACCCTTTTTTTAACTGGCACAAAAAAAAACTGACACCTTTATTCAAGGCATCGTGTTTGCAATAACCACAACACAAGCAGTAAAAATGCGATCAAAAAGCTGTCTCGGGTGTGGACCAATCAAATTCAAGGACAGTGCCAATATTATTATTATCAGAGTTGTCTTTTATTATTATCAATATTATTATCAATATTATTATCAGAGTTGTCTTTTATTATTATCAATATTATTATCAATATTATTATCAGAGTTGTCTTTTATTATTATCAATATTATTATCAATATTATTATCAGAGTTGTCTTTTATTATTATCAATATTATTATCAATATTATTATCAGAGTTGTCTTTTATTATTATCAATATTATTATCAATATTATTATCAGAGTTGTCTCTTATTATTATCAATATTATTATCAGAGTTGTCTTTTTTATTATCAATATTATCAATATTATTATCAGAGTTGTCTTTTATTATTATCAATATTATTATCAATATTATTATCAGAGTTGTCTCTTATTATTATCAATATTATTATCAGAGTTGTCTTTTTTATTATCAATATTATTATCAATATTATTATCAGAGTTGTCTTTTATTATTATCAAGATTATTATCAATATTATTATCAGAGTTGTCTTTTATTATTACCAATATTATTATCAGAGTTGTCTTTTATTATTATCAATATTATCAATATTATTATCAGAGTTGTCTTTTTCTGTTTGCATTTTGACTGTTTGTGTTGTGGTTATTGCAGACACGATGCCTTGAATAAAGGTATCAGTTTTTGTGCCAGTTAAAAGGGTAAAACCTCATTACCTATATCTTGTTTCTGGCAAAGGAGGTCTCAGAATGGGTGATTTGCTTTCGTTGTTAATGTAAAAGTGATTGGAGTCGTTTCCTCGTGAAGATACAAGACTACAAAATAAAAGTGATAGGAATAGGTTTTACCCTTTTTTTAACTGGCACAAAAAAAAACTGACACCTTTATTCAAGGCATCGTGTTTGCAAT